CCATTCTTGTTCGTATATTATTATCAGGGGCGTATCCAGGATTTTCATGGGGGGGTCCTTTACATACCAATTTGTCACTATGACGTCATATTACGCCAATATGATGTCACAACAATCTATGGTTTTTCGCGCTTGTTTGTCTTTGAAAAGGGGGATCACGGGCACCCTATAACCCCCACCCCACCCCCTCCCTGGATACGTCCCGGTAAGCGAGCTTGTTTAAAGTACATATGAACTCGCATATGAACCATTTTAGAAAATCATTTTTAACAAAAAGCAGATATGATGCTAATCATTGAGTGAAGAAAAAAACGTTTTTTTAATTTTATTTTCCGAGTTAAAGGCATTTGAAACTTGAAAATGCTTATGATGTGACGTCAAGGTAGGCTTTATCAAATATACAAACTTTGAAAGAGTCGCTCGAAAGTGTTTTCATGAATGCCAACTGGGAATATGACTATTCCCTACATTGACAAAGATAAATTTAATGCCATGAAACCATTTTTAAGCGACTGTTTCAAAGTTCGTATATTTAATGAAGCCTCCCTTGACGTCACTTCATTAGCATTTTCAATTTTCAAATGCCTTTAACTCAGAAAATAAAATCCAAAAAACTTTTTCTTCTTCAAAACAATGATTAGCATTATATTTGCCTTAAGGTTGTTCTCACGCATCCTCCACTTCTTCCGGCTTAAATTTCTCCTCCTTTATTATTTATATGTGTAAATAGATATCGTATCGTATCGTATCGTATTGTAAGATAGCTATGTCTTGGTATGATTTGATGATTGGTGAGCTTCCAATGGATAGATACACCTGCAAATAATTGTCTGTGGACGCTAAAGAACGTGTTTATCGTCATTGCTACAATGCTCACCGGTCATCTCGCTGCAGTGCAGTGGCGCGATAACCTTTCAATATGGCGCAAAGAACATTGAAAGAGACCATATCTTCTTATCTCTTTTAAGGTGTGGCCCATAACTGGTTTCCATGACAACGACGTTAACATTGGTTCCAAACAATTGGTRGACCAGCACGCTACGAACTTCCCAAGTGAGAGAATGCTTCTGCAGGTTAGTAAGGTCTATTTGAAAGACATTCTCAAAGAAACTTCGTTCTGCGTAGTTAATTCCGCCATCTTTTAATATCAGTATACGTCTCCAAAGCAAACATGACGTATTTCGAAGAAAAGAGCGCTTGAACATGTATATGCGCTATAATAAGCAGACATGTTCATCGTATTTCGGGCTGAGCTCGTAATCCTACCGTAGCTCATTCGGGCCGGGTATGCACAGTGTCGCCATAAGACGTCATATCCCGAACGAGTTACGGTAGGATTACGAACTCATCTCGAATGAGAATTCGGGCTGAGTTCGTAAACCCACGTAACTCGATCGGTGTATGTTCAGTGGCRATACTGAATGGAACTCTGTTGAAACAATTGTGTAAAAAGAGAAATTTAACACCGTATTTCACCTACTTTTTTACGGTGTTAAATTTTTCTTTTTACACAACTGCTTCTTTAGAAACACCGACGGAGCTCACACTAGTTTACCGCTAGTTCCCACCACTCAGTTGAAACAGAACAGCATTACCACATACCCTCATCCCTAACTATCTGTCTATGCTTTCAGCGTCATGTGCTACGTGCTGTCCCTGTTTCTGAAGTCCATTACGAGTGGAAAGATCACAACTCGCGSTACTGGGTGTACGGACATGACCACAAGGTTCATGCCCCCGACTACCCTCAAACATGCTGYTGTGGCTGCACTATATTGTAGACTTTGGGCTACCTGTGCTGCTAACATTCACATACAAAAGGGACATAGTCAACTCGGCAATCAATATAGAAAATCAAAGTGCATTGTGGACTAGGTTCAGTACCATATTTGGCTGCACTGACAAAGATGTTTGTTTCCGAATCGAGACCACAATGCAATGAGTGATAGTATTTTAGAAAAAAGTCTTTATAGTTATGTTTTAGATTTTCATATATGCATGGAAAATGAAGTGATTTCAAATATCCATTCGCAATCCGTTTCCATCCTGAATATTTGAAAAATATATAAATGAAATGATTCCAATGATACAATCTTTAGAAATGCACTRCGATGAATGTAATCAATCATAGAATATTATGGACTAGAGAATTATTACACAACATTTTACATAATAAAGAAGCTCTATACTTCTTCCTGGCATCATTTTCAATATTTACTATATTAGCCTGCGTTGCTACCGGTCTGCGGTTAAGGGGCGGCGATGAGAAGCTGCCGGCTTAAGATTTATTTTTTTTCAGTGACACATGCACGCGGGAAGGGGGGAGGGGAGGGGACTCCCTAATATCAAAGGACGGGGGTCCTCGACGTCTCTTTTAGGGTTTGAAATCGGTATTTTTTGGTCCCGCTTAGGGTGATAATGACAAGAATTCCTACCAACTGARTTTTGTGGTCCCTTTTAGTGTATACGRCGACCCTAAGCCTTCATAAAATGGCAACGTCGTCATAAACTCAATACGAGCCGACGGTGTTCGATGATTGTGCAAAAACGCAAATAAAATCGGGAAACCAAAACAAAATGATCTGTTATTGATTGGTCCCTCTTAAGGGTGAAATTTCAGCACTGGCACGCCCATCATCACAATACAGGTCCTTTAGGGAGGACCCCCGCCCTTTGATATTAGGGAGTCCCCCTCCCCCCGGGCATATGCAGAACAGAATGTTGTGAAACAACTTTTAAATAACGCGCTCATTGATTGGCTGAAATGTGTAAAAGATCAAATAAGAGCTTAGAAATACGGCTTTCAAAATTTCAAGATACCTTCCAATGGGAAATAATGAATACATGAAGTTATTAATCCATTGTATCCCCGGAGCCTCGTTTGCAATTCTTTCATACAGTAATTACCCAACCAAAAATATTAAAATTCGGCTATTGTCAATTATCGACGCCCTTATAACCACAGACCGCCAACAGCGCTGTTTTATCATGATGTCATTCTGCACGAAGCAGGAAATGAAGTAAGGTAATAATCTTCAAGGTTTTCAGTTCTTACGATCTTATCAACCCTAACGTGATAGTTAAGACATCTTGACAATCATAAAGATCAATAAAGAAACTYGGATTTTTAACGAAATCCCCGAATATTACGAATGCTAAGGACGGTTCCAGAAATCTAGCAGTATCAGGGGGGGGGTCTCATTGAGGAAATTTTTCCCGGTACATACTGTAATTGTTTTAAAATAGCGGTAATTGATGCGTCCGAGAGGTGTCCATTGCTCTTATGRACACGCATGGATACTACCCCGAACACAGGGTGTCAAGCTTCCAARTGAATTATCCATCATACGAACTCGAATCAGGGCTTTTTCCCTTCCCATCAAACGAGTTACCATTTGATATCTTGGCGTGAATCCATGAAATTTTTAACAATCTTGAATACCGCAGACACATCGTCATCGTAGACAAACTTAGGTCACAAGGTGGACTTAGAGAGGCGTTATGGTTTTGTGATATCTGTGAAATGGACTTAGGTCAACTGTGATTTACTTGATTCCTTGAKCTGGAGTACCCATCTCTCTGATTTTTGTCCCCTTAATGACAGAGATTTGACAACGCTGACGTTTTCAATTTTTCTCACGCCACGATATGTRTATGTGAAGTCAAGAACGAGGGCAAGCTGTAAGATGGACAGCCACTGAGAAAGACCCAGGCAGCCTCGTCACACTGTTGCATGCGTCATATTATCGTACTTCCACTATGGAAGGAGAAATACAGAAAAAATGCTTTTCAATTATTCTCAAATGCCTATATCTGATCAGATCAAAATCAATTTGTCAGCTATATTTCTTTTTTCAGTAGCAATATGTTCCCTAGCTTTCGAATGAAAAATAATTTCCTAGAAAGCGTCATGAGTATTTGAATGGAGTCCAGGTCCTTAATTTACAGCTCTTAAACTCGTTAAAACCACTTAATGGCGACGGTTATTTCAACGATCAATTAATGATTTTAATTGATTATAATGTAATGCAATTAAGATATGAACAGCAYATTGAAAGAACATTACATATGAAAGAACGCTCGAACTTAGCCTCSTGCGTTGCAACACCCTTGAGCTTGTTCGACAGTAGGAATGTCTGGTACGCTTTTGATTCAAGCAATATGTAGAGAACTAAATTTGGGCAATCGAAGACTGCTTTACTAGGAAATGTAGCTGAATGTTGGATTATAAAGGCCTATTTAGACGGCACAACTTTTGCTTACAACCATCGCATGCAACCTACGTAAGTCATCCTTACAACATGGCTACAACTGTCGTAGAGATTAAAAACAATTGTTTGATAACCCTACCGGCGACAGTYKTAGACATGTTGTAAGGATGACTTACGCATGTTGCATGCGATAGTTGTAGGCAAAAGTTGCACCGTCTAAATCGGCCTTAAGGAATTCTACGTTTAACACAAAAAGCGCAAACATTCTAGAAKACTTTTTTTAATCATTTTACTTGGTAAAGCTGAGCCAGTTGCTCTTGAAGTCGTTGTCATTTTTGACGTGAAGGACTTGAAGATGACGTAATGATATATTTAAGGGACGCAGTGCTGGCAATGGTATATGGGAAGTTGTCGAAGATGGAATGTCATCATGAAAGTACTTCTCGAAACTGAGTTTTAATTTCGCAAGGTGTTCTCTGAGTGCCACAGCTCACGATAGAGGATTACACCAGTATGTTCATTATCGAATTTATGATGATTATCAATWGAGGAAGCTTTTCTAAACGTTGAAAAGTTTCATCATCAGGATAATTATCATCGTTAAGTATGATTATATTAAGAAGTGGWACCTATTTCCTGAGTTCTTATATATCTATTTTAAAAACSTTTGTCGGATAGAATGACGTACGGCAATCGGTGATTGTTGAACAGAGATCCCACGACAGGAGCTATGGGTTTTGCTAATTGATTGGAAACAACAACCGATTTATACTATAAGATAGTCTGAGGTACACATCGGCTAAATTTAGTCTTCATTTTTACGAAAGGCAAACCCCTCAAGTGATATTTTCTATGTTAAGTAATCCCAAATGTTTATTAACTGATCATCTGATTTCATCCCGAAAAATGCATGTATGGCGTTGTGATAAACGTTGTCCGATAATCTAAATATCATAATAATATGATGACATAAATGTCGACAGATTACTCTTGACGGACACGCACATCATTCCRCACATGGTTTCTTTACATAGATAGTCATTTGTGCTCCCCCCCCCCGGAAAATCCTAGGTCTACCCTTTCGTTGGAATCTTGGTAGTGATTTTTCTTAGGGGAGACCACCTCGCATTTTTTACTATTACACCCTTCGCAGCGGGAGACCTCTGGTATCATTTCTGTGGGTGTTATTGCCCAACTGAATATAGTCTCTGAAATGTTCTTTGTCCTTCATTTTAGAAGATGTCAAAATACTTTTAACCCTCCTTTGACACACAGAAAACACAAGATTCGGTTGAAGAAAACTAGTTTCGTCTTTTCTCAAACCTTTTCAATTCCTTTACAACTGTTGTTCTTTGTCCATTGTAAGTTTTCAGMAAATTTCCCATGGGATCCCCTCTTGGGAAGGCATTTTCGATATATAGCTCGTGAATTTATGTGGGCGACCTCTGGTGCGTTTTTTTTAGGTCAAGTAAATTAGTCCGCTGGTGAATGATGAGACGCATATTCTTTAGAATTKAAACGYAATCRAACCCAGACCTTGGCTTGTAATCCATGATTGYTGGCCACATTGACGTTTATAGTGSCCCTGTTTCGCCGCAGTAAAGCATCGTTTTATAGAGTTCTAAGAMGAGTGTTTTTTCTGGTGTTTCCATGAAATTATCCTGGACAATTCTAGCGGTCTTTCTGTGCCTTTCACAAGGTAAATATGTCTGAATTGATATGTTATCTTAACAAGCAGACCGAAATAGCGAACGTTCTAAGGGTGCACATTTCTGTAATGACTGGAAATGTGTGAAGTAGCTGTGAAATACAATTTAATTTGCCATTATCAAGAGCTTTGATGAAATATCGTTTATTTTCATTGATGAATAGACCATAAATATCACGAAACATTAGCACGAAGCGTTTGTTTTCACGCGACGCGTATAAGTGACTGTTGAAGTATGATGACATTCTTACATTGTTTATAGAACTGGAATATCTGAATACATAGATGAACGGATAATAATTCAATATATAGATTGATGATTTATTAATGGATGAATAGCATGAGTGAACAAGTCGGACGAGTAATTCATGAATTCAGTTCTTTCCACCATTGSTCTTACTAAGAAGCGAAAGTTTACATATTTTTATATTTATAAGCGTATTGAGAAATTAAAATGGATCAAGCTTATTGATCAAAATATATCTCTACAAACTAAGTGAATATTCTAGGTTTCAATGCAGGTCGTAGGTCGGGAATTGCCAAATTGAATATTCAGAGCCTTCATGACAGCCTTTGTCAGTGAACTCTCTTGAAACATACTCGTAATACCATTTGTCAGCGTGTGACTCTTTTAGGAATATTTCCATGGCCGATAACAGTAACTAATTACATATTGTACGGTTACAATTTCTTTAAATATATCCTCGTTTGTAATTGGCCGATGTCTAACCATCAATTCTCCATATCTTAATATCAGAATGCAACAATTTTTCAGCTTGAACTCTGACGCCAAACATCGAGCAACAGTTTTTCGGGTTGTTTTTTTTTAACTTTTTTTTCGTGCTGTTTTTTACATGATACAAGCTTTCATCACATTTATATTCTTTACGCGGAAGGCTAGTACACGAAATATTGTTCTATCGTTTTGGCAGCGACATACTTAAACATTTCAACAGGTCAGAAGCCAAAACTTCAAGTACGTCTGCGAAGTGGAAGAAACGAACGTGAAGGACGCGTTGAAATCTTCCACCGCGGAGTATGGGCAGGAATCTGCGATGATGACTGGGATACTAAAGACGGAGATGTTGTCTGCCGCATGCTTGGATTCATCAAGGCTCGACGTGTGTCCTGTTGCTCGCAATACGGTCCAAGTGCTTCGATGCGAATTCATTTAGACGATGTCCAATGCACAGGACGAGAAACATCCATCTCTGAATGYAAYAGTCGGACATTTGGGGAGCACAATTGCGATGCCAACCGAGAGTCTGCTGGTGTCGAATGTGTAGGTCGAGAAAGGACCAGCTTTTTGAAAGGTGAGATTCATATRTCTTTTATCTATGCAAGATAGTTCATTAACAAAATTATTTGCTAAGTATTGTTTTGATATTTTAAGTATACACAGTGATAAATGCTTAGATCATTAATGCAAAAATCATTGATATATTTGTTCATACTTTGTAAATCATATCATTTGTAACTATAGCAATATTAATATAATTCCTTTATTGTACAGGAATTTTAGTKTATAGTTTCAGTTTGTATCCTTTATGTATCAATTTGGTATTGGAAGGATTAAAGATRTAGAGGATATTAMATGGGCGCGCGGAGATACTGATTTTATCTTCKAGTGTTGAAAAGATYTCTCACCGCGAGTTAGCGTAGCGAACGAGTGAGAGATTTTCAACACGAGAAGATAAAATTCGTATCTCCAAGCGACCATGTGATATTCTGTTTATCATATAATTACATATAAAAGCAAATTATGTCGTAAAATACCTTTTTTTAAGTCCACTATAGATAACGAAACCTCGAATGTGTTATTTTCAATAGTGAAAATGTCAACTTTACGCAATTGAAAAATATAGGTATTTCATAGATAATTATGTGATAAATTATTATTATTATTAATATTATTATATAGGTTACTAAGGACCGGTTCATACGTCGAGCCAGCGTCGCGCCGAACCAAATAGTCAATTTGTGTCGACCCAAATCCATTTGGTACGTCGTTGATTCATATGTCGAACCAAATGCAGTCAAAAGCATAAGAAAAGGTGTGATAACAGGCAATTTACACAATTATTATTGTCGAAAACAGATATTTTTGTGAATTAAGTTCGGCACGACGATATCTCGACGTTTGAATCAGCATCGAGCTTTTGCCGTGCAGCACGACTGACTCTGCCGTGCCAATGCCGTGCTATGGTCGCGCCGAACTCAATTGATTCATATGTCGAGCTGTTCATGTGCTAAATTCAAACTATTTGGTTCGGCGCGACACTGGCTCGACGTATGAACCGGGCCTAAAAAATAGGTTGTGCGCGCTTTCGATGAATACACCAGTTGCGAGCTTTTTGTTGTATTCAGTATTGTTATATCAATTTCTCGATTTTGTTTTCAGAAAAGAACATTCGTCTGTTGGGAGGCCCYAGTGCCCTGGAAGGTCGGGTCGAGATATTCCACAACGGCGAATGGGGTACGATATGTGATGATAAATGGTCCTTAAATAATGGTCACGTGGTGTGCAGCATACTGGGTTATGACCAGGCGGCAAGTGTTTCGTGTTGTGGCAAGTATGGTATTAATAAAAAGATGTGGCTGGATGACGTCAGATGTAAAGGTGAAAACAATAACAATTTACCTTGTGTTCAGGGGGGGCCTTGTATTCTGCACCTTCCAACCTCTTGATACTTCCCCCGTTTTTCTCTATACATTGTGACCATTTTGGTGAACTGCATCCGTACCCTTCGTGACATGCACCCCMCTGATGAAAAATCCTGGATCCACTCCTGCTATTCTTCGTTTACTTAATACACCTTTTCAGTTGTACTTAGGCCTCGATTAGCAAGTTAATTATTCTTTTGAATTTGACAAATGAGACTATTCACATCAATGTTTGCATTGCTCACCACATTCCTACAAATTCAAAAGAATATTTAACACGCTGTCGAGGCCCTAAGCAACTGAAAAGGTGTATTRCTAATATTTTGGCTGAATTGATCTGGCTTAAATTTTCCTTTCAGTTTTTAGGAATTTAAAGGCCCGCGTGCATCCGAAAACCTTTCTGATTGGTTCAAAATCAAAGATGGCGATTTTTCGTATTTTAGAAAATTGCTCAAAGGTTCTTTTAGCCCTTTAAGCTTTCGTACAATCATGATCTTTTCTTCAAGGTATCGAGACTTCCCTTGAGAAATGCAGGCATCGAGAATGGGGTCGAACTAATTGTAATATCGAAGAAACGGCTGGAGTAAAATGCACTAAAAGCAGACAAAAATCAGGTTAGTTTAAACTAAAATATCCTTGTTTTCTTTACCTCTGTACTCTCAAAATCGGAGTTCATCTGACTTATTAATCACTTGATAATATAATCACTGATCTTCCATTGCAAGCAATAATTTAATTTCCTGCATGATCGCTTCTTTCAAATTGTTCCAAGAAAGAAAGCAAAATCAAGATGGCCGAGTAGTTAAGTGTTGGATGTTCTAATGAATATTTGTAGACGTGGGTTCGAGGTATAAACCCTTTGCATGCAGGTCATGGCAATGTAGCTCCGAATGGAGGACAAAACAATGGATTCTTGTTCCCAGGAGGGCAAAAACATTTTATTGTTCGCTCCTCGAGATGAAGCTTCTTTGTCGTCACATGAAAGGGGTCTATAGACTCTATTTTGGTTCCCCCTCGTTTTTTAAATCTTTTTTAATATAATGCCATTTTAATTATATCCAGTATATACATTGTATACATGTGAACGTATTGGGAAATGGTGGGTTTTCATATATATATTTTCTTCAATTTATTCTATTTATATTTTCTCACCCATATTAATACAATATCGCATTGTGTCAGTGTAACGACACACAGTTTCTTCTATTACATTTTTCCAGTGTATTGACTCTTTTGCCTTATTTTAGGTCTTATATTTCGCCTTGCTGGYGGTCGTAATCCTCACGAAGGCCGCGTCGAAGTTCTACGCAAYGGCGTCTGGGGCGCAGTGTGTGACGACTACTGGAAACTACGTAATGGTCACGTGGTATGCCGATACCTAGGCTATGAGCGTGCCTTGAGGGTGTCGTGCTGTAGTGAATTCAGGGCAAGCAGGGGCGGTCACATGTTCTTGGATGACGTAGTCTGTAAAGGCAACGAGGATTGGCTGTTTCAGTGCAAGCATCGTCGATTTGGACAACACAATTGTAATCGWTACAAGGAGACTGCTGGAGTAGTGTGCGATAAAACATCCTATAGGACCCTACCCCCGTTAGGTAATTTTGATTCTTTTTTATAATGGGTCAGCCTGGTTTCGAGCCATCATCTACCATCATGAACGTTTACATTAAACGAAGAGACCAATGTTGTTTTTTCGAACCGATTTTGCCATATTATTCATTACTTTGAGAACAGAGAACGATTCAAAAGTATTGTGATAACAGCAGGTTTCTTTACGCCAGCGCGTTTGTATTGCGTTATTTCCTTGCGTACGTACAATAAGTAAACACAAGACGAAGACTATCATTTACCACATTTCTTGTTCATGTACTTTCCAGTTTGTAAAAARGGCTACAAAAAAGACGAAAATGGCGCTAATTGTACTGGTAAGATGCCAAACAACACATAGAATCTAATGTAGAATGATTCTTTTTGTAATATGTGTAGGAAATGCAATTTCAAATAGAAATCTTAGCATCCCTTCAAAAGTGCAATAGTTTATATTTTTGCTGTTTCTACAGATATTGACGAGTGTGCAGAAGACAGCAATGGTTGTCCCCACGACTGCGTCAATACGGTTGGCAGCTATAAGTGTGTTTGTCCTAAAGATCACACTGGTGATGGGAAGATATGTACGAAAAGTAAGGATTATGCTGATGTAATTGTGCAAAGTAATGTAAAACTAGTGGGGATGGAGTTGGGAAGTTCTTAAAGTTACCCAAATATATATCTCTTTTAACCTTAAATATTGAACATAKCTATTACGAAGCATAGTTTTATTGCTTATCTGTTCTATACAGCTATTTCAGAAAACGTTAAATACTGAAAATAGTGTATTCCAAGACCGAAATGCATTGTTGGTCGTTCTATCGCTCTATAAAGACGCTTACGTAATGTGACTATACCAACTCCGTCAGTCAAGAACTGCAAATAAACATAGCCAGAATAACACCTCTTTTCTCTTTCATATCTTTGCCAGCAATTTGTAGAAAGCGGGGTCAGTAAAAAATGGGAACAGCTAAGTTTGTTTTATTCATTTGAAAGGTTGTAAAGGAATAACTGCCATATACCTGAGTATATTAGCTGAGGTAGTGCTTTTAATAAAACATTTGTGAACAAAACATTTTAACCTTAAGGGTGAAGATTTACCGACGTYTTGGGCTTTGGTACCGAGTCSTTCTAAATGGTTATTGCACTTACAGTMAGTTAGAATTTGTGCGCAAAACTAACACGTGGYTTTATCACTAGAGATCAAGCCCGCCAAGCCAGGCTCTGAAAAGATACGTCTGAGAGACGGAGATTCACCCAACGAGGGACGAGTCGAAGTGTGGAATGACGGTGTGTGGGGGACCATATGCGACGATTTCTGGGACTTACGAGATGGCAACGTCGTTTGTCGTATACTCGGGTACATGCGAGTTAAAACTGCAACCCGTAAAAATACTTTTGTTGGAAGTAATGCGCCASCAATGATGCTTGACAACGTCGGCTGCAATGGTGCCGAGTCCTCTATCTTCTCATGCAGGCACGCCGGCTGGGGTGTCCATGATTGCCAAGAAGGGAAAGAAGAAGCTGGAGTCATATGTACYAATGAACCACCGCCAACATTCAAACCTCCAAGTATGACGTAATTTTAAAATACATTTTTATGCGGTTCGTCGAGTCTATCTTGTGCTGAAGTCAAGAAAATTTCTCTAAACGGCCTTAGGCCCGGTTCATACGTCGAGCCAGAGTCGCGCCGAACCAAATAGTTTTAATTTAGCACATGAACAGCTCGACGTATGAATCAATTGAGTTGGGCGCGACCGTAGCACGACAGTGGCACTGCAGCGCCAGTCGTGCTGCACGGCAAAAGCTCGACGCTGATTCAAACGTCGAGATATCGTCTTGCCGAACTTAACGCTCAAAACTATCATGTAATTGACATGTGACAACGAAAAATTTAAATGACCCTACAGTTCGTATGAGGAAGTGGCTGATCCCAGATTTACAGCAAAATCTTGCCTCTTTGATATCATATATATAACCCTACAGTTCTATAATTATCAGTTGTCGTTATATTAAATTGTCATTGCAATTCAAGTTAACATATAGTCCTCCAATCTACCAACAGAATCACAGCTCAACAAAATACAATTCCGTCTTGTTGGTGGTGCCACGCCTCATGAAGGGCGTGTTGAACTCTTCTTCAGRGGACGATGGGGCGCCATATGCGATGATTACTGGAGAAAAGGAAATGGGAACGTAATTTGCAGGCAGCTTGGATACAAGAAGGCAAACAGTGTATCTTGCTGTAGTAAATATGGCATTATTCAGAGTGGCTTGATATGGCTAGATGATGTGAGATGCAGGGGRCGAGAGAAACATTTGTTAGACTGTCGGTATCGTGATTGGGGACATAACAACTGCAACAAAGAGGAAACGGCCGGGGTTGAGTGYAACACAGGAGATATCACTGASCCACCGACTACTAGTAMGAATAGGCCTTTTGCATGAAACKGTCRMATGGTACTAAATCCGCCATACTGGATSGCAAARRAWKSTAAAMAAYCTMAAAAACAAACGGAAAGTAGCWYGTCAAGCTTGATTTTGTTTTGAACACAACAGTGGGTATTTTATCATCCAGCATGGCGGATTTAGTACCATGTGACCATTTCATACAAAAGGCCATCTTGAAAGGTAACCGAGCCAAAGCGAGACATTGGTTGAGCTTGCAATGATAGATGATGGTGAATACAGTGTGTATCTATCACTGATATATAGAAATGAAAGAAAGTTATAGTGCTTAGAAGGAGGCAATTCCGGGAGAAAGACCCTTAGTAATAAATTCGGAAAAATTAATTTCCGACCTCGCTGGGATTCGAAACTCATATTCATATCTTTACAGTTGTTCTATTACCACAACCTAACATCTATTTCACCCCGACCTGCTCCCAGTCTGGCCTTGTAGCTCAGCTGGTAGAGCATCGGTAGTACAAATCCGAAGATCGTGGGTTGGAATCCCAGCGAGGTCGGAAATTAATTTTTCCGAATTTATTCCTAAGGGTGTTTCTCCCGGAATTGCCTCCTTCTAAGCACTATAACTTTCTTTCATTTCTATATCTGTTCTATCATAGTGCCATGCGGTCCTCATATTCGTATCTATCACTGAAGGCTCAACCGCTGTCTTGCTTCGATGCAAAGGCACGGCTGGCTTAAAAGAAATGCAAACGGAATGGAAACATTGACGCATGTCGCAAATTAATATCACAGTTAGCATATTAGTTAAATTTTAGTAATATTCTATATTGTAAAACAATCTAATGATAACGATCTCACCTCACCATCATCTGACAAATCAATATCATTCTTTTCATTATCAATTTCAGTTCCTCCAATCACTCCCACCTCTAAACCGACTGTACGTATTTTCGGGGGTCCGACCAATCATGAGGGTCGTGTAGAGGTACTAATAGATGGACAATGGGGAGCGGTATGTGACCGATCGTGGCAGTTACGAGATGGCGACGTAGTTTGTCGTACGGTTGGATTTGCGCGGGCTATTAGTACGTCATGTTGCAGTGCGTACGGGCCGTCAAAACGCATCTCGCTGAGCGATCTTCGCTGCAGAGGATACGAGTCATCCACGGATTTATGTCGCAAGCGTAAATGGCAGGGCTATGAGTGTAATATGAAGTTCTTGGCTGGTGTAAAGTGTCTAGTGGCCTTTCCTACTACAATTCCTATTCCTACCACAGGTTAGAGCACGGATACGGCTGATCGCGTCACTATGATAAACTATTAACTTAACTACAAAAACCTTGGACCATAGGATGATTTGTCTCCAGCCTAACATTTTTCAACTTTATTTTTTCACAGTTCTCCCCTTAGCCCCCTTTCATCAATGTTGGGTCTTACATTTTTGGGGTCAGGGGGATGAATTTGTCTGCGGGTATTGCTTAAAATAAGGAAATTCGTTGGAATGGTCCAAGGATTTTGTCAACAATTGCAGTTCGCTACATGCAGGATCTACCTCTTTCAAAGTGTRATAAGAGCTCCTCTATGACCAAGTTATTCAGTCATGCTATAAAGCCAATTGCATTGTTTTCAAGATTTCGTATTAACTGATAATTTACCGTTTTTAGAGATTTATGGATTCAAAGTTCGTCTCGATGGTAGCAAGAAACCAAACGAAGGCTCTGTCAGCGTCTTTTACGGCGGAGTCTGGGGTTCAGTCTGTGACGACAATTGGGGCATAAGAGAAGGTCACGTGGTTTGCCGTATGTTGGGTTTTGGAGGAGCTCTGTCGACTTCCTGTTGCTCACGATTCCCCGACGAGGGGTCGGAAAGGATGTGGTTGGATGACGTCAAGTGTRATGGGGACGAGAAGTCAYTGAGTCAATGCAAGCACGCCCCATGGGGAAGACACAACTGCAATTATAATGAATTGGCTGGGGTTATCTGCTTCGCTAAAACAATAACAACTACTTTACCTTACAGTATGTATAATACTTACATGTTTATTCAATTTTGTCTCCATTTCACACTTTCCCAGTCCAGAGTCGTCTTCAAACGTAGCCGAAGCCCTATTTATAGAATAAGATAAAGTGCATGTTTAATCGGAATACATTGATTCAAGCCGCACTAGAACTCCACCACCCAGAAAGTGAAATAGCGTTTGAGCTTGCAATCACTGCCAGTTAAAAACGTTGGTGATAAAAACTCGGCTATTTTTCAAGATGGCGCTCGCAGCAAYTGTTAAAATCATCTTTAGTGAGCTCAGTCAACCATAGAATATCATAACGAAAGGGCACATGATCARTACGTTGAGTGAATGCTTTTACAAAAATAATGTAAGATATTATACAGCAGCAATATTTGAACAACGGCACTAAGTATTAGTGTCATACTCTAGCTATGGAACTGCTCATATAGCCTTTTGGTTTCAGCTTGTATACTCCATGTATGACTAAAATTATCTCCTATTTTACCCTCAGATGGTACCTATGCACCTCCGACGCAAGTCCGTCTCGCAGGAACTAGTCGAGAAGATTCTGGTCGTGTGGAAATCTTCTACCGAGGGGAGTGGGGAGCAGTCTGTGATGACAACTGGATCTTACGTAATGGTTACGTGGTATGTCGTCAACTCGGTTTTAGGGAGGCTAAAAGTGTATCGTGCTGTGGTAAATACGGAGGGAGCAAATCCAAGAAACTGTGGCTCGATGATGTCACTTGTAAAGGAACTGAGAAGACTCTGATGGATTGTAAGCATGCGCCGTTTGGTGAACATAACTGTGATAGTGAAGAGACGGCTGGGGTGGTGTGCGTAGGACCACGACGACGTGAAGGGACGTTGATCCCAACGACAACRCCCAAACCAACTATCATACCCACTACTCCAGGGATAAGTAAGTTATGYCCCTCTCACTTAAAGGATCATGGAAAACCGGCATCCAATGCGGTCGTGTTTTACCTTGTGACTACAAATATTCACTCGCGACCTGCTTCAATCGGTCGGTTTTATAAATCTTACGATATCGTCATTCATATAGCATATAAAGAGTACGTTTTTGCTTGCATTACGATGTAATTTTAGAGTTTCAAGCATAAACAAAAACTCTTAAGGAATACCGGTCGAATATGGCCCCAAACATCTTTGGAAAAGATATCASTTGATYTGATTGGTCCAATTTTCTGTTATCGCCATCGCKATATTTCATGGTCATTGCCATTTCAGAGTTTCTTTGTTATGGCTATTTTGTCAGTATGTTTATAAATATTTTATTAATTCCAGAATGTGGCCAAAAGCTCACCAATGCCAGGGCTAACCGCTTTAGCAGTAGGCTGCAGAAGGCAACCCCCGGGGACTGGCCATGGCAAGTAGGCATTATGAACAGGCGCAAGTTCATGTTTTGCGGAGGTGCATTAGTCTCTGATAGATGGGTGCTTAGTGTTGGGCACTGCCTTGATAGAGGGGTGCGTAGGCCTTCTGACTTGATCATAAGGTAAGTGGATGTAAACCTAAAAAARCTAGTCAAGTTCAAAAGGGTTAAATCAAGGCTAAGACCTAACGGTGAGCATGGGAAAACATACATCCTGCTTTAAACTCCTCAACGCTGCTTTKCTTTTTATTGTATTTTCCTCCTTTTCTATTTTTCATGGTTTTCTTATTCTTCCTTTTTTTGTTCTATTTAATACATGGAGATCCTTTTTTTCATTTTTTTTCTTTATATCCTTCTTATCCTTCTTCAATTCCTTTATGTTATTACTTCTCATCTTTCACCTACGTTATTTCCTTATAATTTCAAACGTTCTTGATCAAAAACAATCAATTTTGCCTTCAGACTAGGAGCACATAGAAGRGTAACAACTGCAAAGACATGGTTACAGGACATTCCCGCCATAAAGGTGTTCCGTCATCCAAAGTAYAATAGTCCCAGGAGGTATGCTCACGATTTGATCCTGATTAAACTCTCSAARCCAGCGAAATTCAACCAAAGAGTTACTCCCATMTGTTTGACCAATAATACRAGATTATTTCGGGAAGGTGAGTTATAACATATAGTTGCCATCATAATCGCTGTTTATCATTGTGTCATTCCTTACCTGACTACATTCTTTGCATGTCCTAATATAAAGGATGGCATCGTAATCGTTGTTGTAATTGTTATGACATATAGAATAATACTCTATCATCGTCTATGCAATTGCACTGCTTTGTTGATTACGCATTCTGCATTCTGCGATACCAAATACRTGAAACACGCCTACAAGTGGGAGACGAGAAAAAGAAGAGTTCTAAACTGGGTTTGATTATTTATGACAGAGCGATTGCTTGATCTACCCTAACTCTAAAAGTTAACATAATTTTATAAAGCAAGAGTTAGCGCATTGAATTTTTAAATTATCATGAATTTGGAAAGTTTAGATCTAAACCCAACGTATGTATATTATTTATTAAATGACACATTTAACTTTCCTTGCAGGTGGTAAGTGCTGGACGTCAGGGTGGGGSCTACTACAAGACTTCAGGCGTCGATCGCCTGTTCTTCGAAGTATTTCAATACCTTTGAGGCCTCTCCGCTACTGTAGRACCTACCGCAGATACAACCTACATAATTCCATGCTATGTGCCGGTTATAGTATGAGATGGGCTGACTCRTGTAGTGGGGATTCGGGTGGGCCATTGGTATGCAGGTCGAAGGGCTCCTGGTACCTTAATGGCCTAAGCACGTGGGGCGGGGACTGTAAAAAGGAGAGTTATTTTGGATTGTATGCTAATGTCCCTTCCATGTCAAATTGGATTTATAGAATAATGAAGAGATACTGAACAGGGATACCGTACTTACTCGAAAAGACCCTAATATTGTCATTCTAGTGAGAGGGCAGTGTTCGTTAAAGGGAGGCGCCATCTATTTGAGTGAGACTTATATTACAAAATCTTATACCTTATAATTAAGCAAAAAAAAGTATTAAGCATCAGCGAAACCCAATAATCACTTGTAAATTATATTAACATTGTTATTAAAAAGAGACAAGCGCTGTTAGATAGTGCAGCTCAAGCAAACTATGTGAATTTGTTCTGGATCTGTCCTCGAATGATGCACGTTGGAGAAAGGTGTCTTATCGAATAAATACGGTATTTATATCAAACTAAATAGGCTTCATTTTGGTGCTTTCCCAAAAAAATCAAATATTCTGTACTAAATCCATAATTATTTACAATAATAATCTTGAATGTACTTCATCATTGATTTTTAATTTCATACCATGTGGGGTGATGGATGGAAGGAAGAACATCGAACCAAATTGAAAGCAAATTGTTTAAAACATTGTGCAATAAACACTCCTCTCAACATTTTCCACTTACTGCTTTATTCAAGAATACATGTATTTGAATCGATTACATTTTGCCATATGGATTGCATACATTTGTTCATGACTAAAGATTGCCATGTACTCTGGTAGGAGGAACTCTTGTCGTTGTCTCTTCAACTCTACCACTTGATTTCACATCTGAATCAGTTACAACGTTTGTTGTAACTTTTGCATCAGTTGTTTGCGTGCCAGTGTAACTAGCTGTCGTGCTTTGCATCGTCTGTTGGACGTTGTGCTCCGTACCAAGGCTGGTCGTTGSAGTACTTTGGTTTTCAAAGAGACTTGAAGCAGTGCTTGATTGTAACTCAATAGTTGGCGAACTAGTGGTTCTATCCTCGCCCTTATCATGTCCCGGTCCTTTCTGGTAGTGTCCTSTATATCTGCCTGGTCCTTTTGRTCTGGATGMACGATCACCCTTGTCATGTCCKGGTCCTTTCTGGTAATGTCCTCTATATCTGYCTGGTCCTTTTGGTCTGGACGCAMGGTCACCCTTGTAATGRCCCGGGCCTTTTTGATAGTGTMCTCTGTCTTGTGGTGTTCCACGACCACGTTGAATATGGTTATCAAACGAACCCCTATAAATATAAAAAAACAATTAGGTGAAACCTCATGAAACCTTAGAAAAAGCACGTACAGAGAGCGGTAGGTTTTCTTCCCAAATGGATTCCAATCTCATTTTAGTAATACTACGTAAACTAGCATGAAAAGTTACCAGAATCTTTGCGTCCATTCTCTCCTTTGCTGTTCGTTTGTCATATTATGAACACTAGCATTCATTCTTTGGCCCGGTCCTTTTTGATAGTGTCCTCTGTATCTATTCGGTCTGGATCCAAGATCACCTTTGACATGGCCCGGCCCCTTCTGATAATGCCCTCTGTATCTGGCAGGTGCATTCTCCCCTGATCCACGATCACCCTTAACATGGCCCGGCCCCTTCTGGTATTGTCCTCTGTATCTTCCAGGTGCTTTCTCTCCTGATCCACGATCGCCCTTAATATGGCCCGGCCCCTTCTGATATTGTCCTCTGTATCTTCCAGGTGCATTCTCCACTGATCCACGATCGCCCTTGACATGGCCCGGCCCCTTCTGATATTGTCCTCTGTATCT